ACTGGCAGGGCCTCTGCATTGCGGCAGGACAGGGCCGCTGCCTGCACTGGGCTTATATGCTGGCTGTGTGCTCCTCACCAAAATACTCCAGGAGCTCAGTTGCAGCTCTTGCATGTGGCCTGAAGAAACATCTCCTCCTGTTGGTATCACAGGGGATTTTGCACACCGACTGACCGGGAACGTGTCCCTCTGAGACCGCGAGACCTTCTCTTCAGCTGCTCCTAGACTGCAGGTGTGATGTGGGTGCACTGCGATACCACCCGTGAGTAAAACACTGCGATACCACCCGTGAGTAAAACACTGCGATACCACCCGTGAGTAAAACACTGCGATACCACCCGTGAGTAAAACACGGAGCTAATTCAGGAGCCGTCAGCGATGCCCTGATCTTAGACACGGACTTCAGGTCATATGGTGCATAACTTTGGTTCTACATTGCTGACATACAGAAAAATGCTTCATAAATCAAAACAACAAGATTGTATAAGAATATGGACATCAAAACTAATGAAAGAGGCTATGTTTGACATTACTAATGTAACGTAATATGTATATCTTAAGGTATACAGTCTTAATGTACTGAATTTTGGTGCGAAAATCTAAAATTGGGGTTTTATTACGGAGAATAAACTTTGTTTATCTGAAGAGCTGAGTATGAATTGGTGTCTCTAAATAGCCATGAGTGTGTGAATTGTTGTGTGAGAATGTGCCCTGGCAGTGACATCACGTCCCACACATCAGAAAAGTGCTTGAATAAGCAAATGATGGATGGGCTGACTTTAAAAAAACCTCCATTTCAAGATTTTTTGGTGGAAATGGCACCCAGACTGAGTGTGGGACAGTTTGAGGACACACTGTGACACGGCCCTCCCTTCTTGGACGTCCTCGTGGTGAGGCACGGCGTTTTGGCTCCCCCACCGTCATACGTAATGCCGGGTCTTACTTTCCATGTGTCATTAGCGAAGCTGTGCTGCTGAGACACAGCTGGCATTGAAGAAGAGGGAAGGTTCTGTGTGTAGATTATGTTTATATTACATTGTGGGGACCAAATGTCCCCCACAATGTAATAAAAACCTGCTATTTTGATGTTGTGGGGACCATTTTTCAGGTCCCAAGAAAGATCTGTGAATGCAATCAAAAAAGTAAAAATGCCGAAAGTCTCATATTTTGTTTGGTTCCTCGTGGTTAAAGTTATGGCTGTGTAGGGGTTAAGGTTGCCATGTTGGTGTTAGAGTTTTCACCATAGAAATGAATGGAGAGTCCCCACAAAGATATAATTACAAACCTGTGTGTGTGTATGTGTGTGTGCATCTTTGTGAGGACCAATCTTTAAAATGTCCCTACAAAAACAAAGATGTCCTCACAAAACAAGCTTTCTATGAGATTAAAAGTGTCACGTAAATCTTCATCCACTTTCAGGTTTTGTGGAGTGGGGGGTGGTGAGCCCACAAAGACAGTGAGCAGGAACCCCCCCTCCCCCCCACTGGGAAATGTGACTCTTGGCTGCTGTAGCAGAGATCTTCATTTTCATTTTGGATCCTCACCTCTGAGAGACTGTCCCTCCCCAGGACCGAGGGTCAGAGCGGGTATCCACTCAGCACCTCCTGATTACTGCAAATAATACTGATTACATAATGGGACTTTAGGTCAAGTACCAGGACAATTATTAATACCAGTGGGGATAGTACTGTAATGCTTCCTTGAATCAATCTGTTAGCAAGTACTTGGAATGCTACAAGGACTGAAGTGTGGCCTTTAAATCTTATATTTCCACCACGAGTGAAAGTGTTGCATATGAATGGGCAAAAATCACCCTCTCAGCATAATCCAGTTGAAAATATATAAATGAACTGTTTTCATACGTATTTTGGTTATGTGAGTTTCTGTTCAGTACTTATCAGCTGTTTTACTGGCCTAGGCACTTTTTTTTTTTTTCTTTCAACATTTAGTGAAAACGATTCAATTTTCCAATCGCTGAATTGCGACACTTTGAACCCACTGAGAAAACGCCAATGGTGCACGACTCCCTTTCATGTGGAGGAAGGAGGATCTCAGTAGTCCGCTTCTCTACTGAGATGAAACACAGAAAGTCCGGCAGATAAAGAGAGCAGAGTTTATGTAGCTGTCAGTCTTGCTGACCGTTGTCATCTATATTGTTGTCTTAGCCCTTCAAGGATTAATATTTCTTTTCAAGTTTAATGAGATAAGAAACCTGGGGGAGGAAAACCCCTGGGGTGTTCAAAGGCCAGCCTGGCTGGAGGAGCTGCTTTATCTCAGGCGGTGATTGGTCTGGGTGATAGGTGATCGTGAGGAACCGCAGTGGCCCAGAGAGTCTCGCTCCCCTCTGGGAGGATCAGCTGGCAAACTCAGCCTGCTTTCCATGGGAAGCCATCCCAGCGCCCCAGCTCTTTGACTCCTGTGGAAAAGTGCATTCCCTGCCCCGTCCCTCGAGCGGCACCATGCCGGCCGGTCCCTGCATCCCATGAGCAAGCTGGATGCAACGTGTGTGAGCTCACACAGCCTGGAAGCCATTGCATGGAAGCCATTGCATGGAAGCCATTAAAGGTGGGAAATTATCCATCAGTGAGTGTCAATGGCATTAATGGGAGGCCTGGGGTGGGCATTTGGCTATGTTGGGTGGGTATCAATGTTTGAATTAATGGGCAGGGGGTGTAGCAGCGATGGTGAAAGTTGACCATGGTGACACTCGGCAATAATTAAACGATTTAAATTAAAATTTGGACTGTCTTTGTTGTGATGAGCAGATGACTGGTGTGCAGCTCTCCTGACTCTCAGCACCATGTTGAGGTTTTACTCGACAAAACCAGGCCTGGCTGTTGCCTTCAAAGTACCTCCTGCTAGCTACTTACCAAGTCGATGGTGCAAATGTATATCAGTCATGCAAATGTATATCAATCATTCCCTCATGATGCTCAGGAGAGCGTCACATTTCGAGGGAGATCTGTTTCATTGACGTCGTCATATTTCAGGGCAGTTTCTCAGTGGAGAACATCTGTGTGAAGCTGTAGGTGGTACAGGGTGTGTTGTGGCGCGGAACGGCGTAGGCGGGGAAACAGAGGTGAGGATCCACGCAAAAACTCCAAGACAAAGGGATTTATTGGGGAAACTGAACACACTGGATAAAACTATAAAACAAACAACAGGGGAAAAAATAAGGGATTAACTAAAAACCATAGAAGAAACACGACTACGGAACCAAGCGGAACACAGGGAACAGGACTGGGCAATAGCACAGGGTGACAAACACAGTAACATTCACACAATGAATCAGTGAGGAACAGAAGGAGGGCAAGTGATTAAAAACAACAGACAACCGAGCTAACGATGAGGCAGGAGTGACACATAAGACAATTAACCAGTAACAGCACAGGGAAATCAGGCAACAGGTACATTAACTTATACTAATGAACTCAAGACTAGGGAAACTCCAACAAACACTGAATGTAAGAAACACTGATTAAACACTGGGAATTACTACACTAGGATAAGGAACATGGAACCAAAATTCGAACAGGACAAAAGCAGGGAAACGAAGTACGAAACACTGGGGAAACACAAACAATAAATACAAGTAGACAGGTAAGACTGGGCCCTGGCCAGCCTCAAAGCCAGATCTTCCTGATGTAAATGTTACAGTCAAATGAAACCGTGACTTTACCAAAAACAATGAAAAGGTATAAAACCCATTTTATCTCCAAAAAAATCTAATTACAGCATTTATCTCTCTGGATCACTCCACCGTTTTTCCTTAAAAGTTTTTACTTCTGTGCTAAAGAGAGGGCTCCATCGAAACACATTTTCTGGGACAACGTAGCTGCAGGGCCACGCTGGGATTTAATATCTAAGGCAACCAACCTGGAGACGGACTTCCTTAGAACCACAGTTAGAGCCGGTCAGACGTGTTATACGCGTTCCTGCGATCGGTAATCTGGACGTGACACTGGCCGGCTGCATTGAAGTTGCTGTGCTGAATGGCATCCTTTCTTCTTGCGAGATTTCCGCCTCATGGCAGCTGTAAAGAATTACCACACACGCTCTTGGGTTGTTCTTTGGTCACTCCGCAGGCCAGCGGCCCGAGCAAAGGTCACTGCAGCCCAAACCGCTACCCGCCAGGACGTGGCCTCTGGGAATGCCGGCCTCGAATCACTTAAACATTCCAAGGGGGAGTTAAAACCATAAAAGTTATTTAGGAATTCCATATTATGTCTATTATGTCAGGTTCTGGATGTGTGCACACGTGTGTATGTGTGTGTGTGTGCGCATGTCAGGAATAGAAGATTTATTGACAGCTGTAGCTCATCTTGGGAGGAAGAGTATGATCCAGGAGAAGAGAAGTGGAAAAGGGCTGATTTCACTGACAGACCTGGAAAACGGCCGATTGCAAACAGATAAAAGTCACCGATACAAGAGACACCATCCATTACCAGGCTTTTACACAGACGCAATTTCTAAAACAAGTTACATTATCGGTACATGTATACAGAATTCCTAAATAACTTTTATTCTTTAGTGTTTGTAAATACACCTTTTATTACCTTGTTATATGGACTTATAAATGCCATTGGGACAGTTTTAATTATTCAAAAGTTTATAAAAGGATAAAATGATTTGTTACGATTATGGCAGACAGACTAGATACACACACTGCAATGCTTATCCTGTTAGTCAACAAAAGTTATGCAAGGTTGGATGTTAACCTGTTGTTCTTAGCGAACATGCTCTTCACTGTTTGCTCAGAGGGCCTTGGATTAATTTTCTTGGGGGTGGGGGGGTTGTCTTGATTCCAATCAGCACATGAAGACACATTGCCGTTTCCGGGGAGAGCCCTTCTCTCCATAATAACAGTTGATGATAAATATGTGACTGTTTCACCTTCCACAAATTTTGCCTTATCATACTTATGAAAAATGAAGCTTGACTTTGGGGAGAATGTAATTTTGGGCTAATTTTTATATGGCTATTTTGACTACTGACCTTTGAGTCAGACAGCCTGATGATTAAACTGTTATTAAAGTATTTTTACTTTTCTAAAACACTGGGTGTAATTAATGCAGTATTGAGTGATATGCAGTATATTGGCGCTTTTACTGAAATGTATTGTGTGATTGTTGGCTGTTAGTAGAATGTGAGGTTTTTTAAAAAAAGGCGAATAACATAAAAATAACATCCACCTCAAATCAAGTAGCAATAAATAATGTCATGCTGCACTTCTAATGGTAAATTTGCATTTAGATGTCGTCTTGGATACATAATTTGTTGATTAATAATACTCAGATGTTTGTAATAGAGAATCTTAGTGATTTGAAGGAAGTGGGTAGAAGAGTAATTCTGAGGAGAGAAATTTCATGACAGTGTAATTCTGCAAAATAAACTGGATAATGAAACATAGAGTTTATGACAGCAACTCTAGCACAGAGGAGGACCTGTAAAATAGAGCTGAGAAATTTTTGTCACTGGAAGAAGGTTGTTCCTTTATTTCTTGTATGATGAAAGGATGAAAAATCTAATGTAACCAATGAGGAAGCTTTGCACCTGAGTTCTATTTATAACATAAACGAGCCTCTGGGCCGACAAGCATTTGATGTTTAAAGCTGTTTTTCCCAACCTGGTCCTCAGGAACCCACAGATGGCCCATGTTTTTGCTCCCTGCCAAGTAGTTCACATTTTTGCTCCCTGCCAGACAGTCCACATTTTTGCTCCCTCCCAAACAGTCCACATTTTTGCTCCCTCCCAGACAGTCCACATTTTTGCTCCCTGTCACACAGTCCACATTTTTGCTCCCTCCCAGCTCCCTACCAGGCAGTCCACATTTTTGCTCCCTCCCAGCTCCCTACCAGGCAGTCCACATTTTTGCTCCCTCCCAGCTCCCTGCCAGGCAGTCCACATTTTTGCTCCCTCCCAGCTCCCTACCAAGCAGTCCACATTTTTGCTCCCTCCCAGTTCCCTACCAAGCAGTCCACATTTTTGCTCCCTCCAAGTTCCCTGCCAGGCAGTCCACATTTTTGCTCCCATGCTTCTCGGAAACTCCAACATTTCTGCCCAGAATACATAGGGGCTAGCGACTGGACTGGATAACTGGATAATAATACAAAGATGAAGATCCATTGATTTCACACCCCAATTTCCCCCTTAACACTTAATGCATTGTGCCCAGTTCCCCTGTGTCCCCTCTGGCCTCGCTCCATGGGAAAAACCCCCCCACCCTTCATGGTGCCAGGTCCCAGACACCCCCCATGGACGTGAGCCACCAGCGGATCGCCGCAGCCAGATGGACTGGCATGCCGGCCCATTCCTTCTGTGCGGGTGTCAGTAGGGATCGGCTCTTAACGGCCCGGGGAATGAGCGTGCGCCGGCGGGGATCGTCTGATTTAAATGCGCGGGATGCCACACATTGCACCGTGTTTAGGCTGGACGTCGCATTGCTTCGGTCCCAAACTCAGCTGGCATTGCTTGGCCGTCTGGGCCGCTGCTAATCCACCCTGAATAATCGCACATTATGTCGAGGGCTTGAGGAATCGCCTTGGGAACAGGTGCTTGTTCCACAGCAGGGCTGCTCTCTCTGTGCTGGGGATTGTTCAGGACCCGACTGTGGGTCCTGTCACATCAGCGTGGCACATTCTTTCGGACTGGCATTCCTTCAGGAAGCCATGGCTGTTTTATTGAGGCAGGGAGAAAGAAATTAAAAAATGGTCATACACACACACACACACACACACATATATCAATAAATACATTTTTGCTCGTTTTTATATATATATGTATATATATACACACACACACACAGACATATATCAATAAATACATTTTTGCTCGTTTTTATATATATATGTATATACATACACACACACACACACACACACACACTTGTATTTTCTTTGGCCTGCTCTTGAAAAAGGTGTTTGTCTGAATGTCTCCAGACCATCAGTATCAGGATTCCTAGGAGACAAAGCATTTTAAGGGGATATGGGAAAAAAAGCAAAAAACAGCCAGAAACAGAAAGAGAGGTTGAGGTATGAAAGTCAGACTTTATGACTTTCACTGTAGTAAAGGAGCTACATTTCATCCATCCATTCATCCATCCATTCATCCATCCATCATCTATGTTGTTCATTAAAGGGTTGCCAGTAGAGCTGGGATTGCCTATAATTATCCCTTACATCATAAGAACACTTGACAGTAAGGGAGTAAGGTTCCTTAATGCTACACACAAATAAATACGTTGAAGCAGTCTGTTAATATACCAAGCAAAATCATCAAATTAATATGTACAATGAAATACTGCATGAACTGTTCCGTGTGGCACCTTGACATTTGGCGCAGTTCCTTTTACAGAACTAATAACAGCCAAAATTGTTTTCCAAATTAATCGTGAAACTTTTCTGTTGCAGAGACCCAACTTGGCACTTCGCAGAGCAGTATAGTGCCCCCCCCCTTGGTGCGCCTGTGGACGCATCATCAAAGGCCCTTTAATGAAACGTAAGACATACATTTTTCCAATTTACGGTGCCCCATAAAGTGCCACCTTTAGCTAGCTTTCTCATTCATTGGTGTGTGAAAGCTGAACCCCTAATAAACGCGTTTCAGCATTTTCTTAATGCTCCGACTTTGCTTCGAATGGCCCCAAGACTGTAGTAATTACCTCATTTGCACAGCATAAGCAATGCAGGCTAAACAGAAAAAGCCTTTTATAATTTATTGTTTTTAATTAAACTCCAATTTCACAGCTCTTTTTCATTGTTTATCAATACTTATACTGCATAGTTTGCAAAATATATTTATGCTTTTATTAGATACATTCCGACTGCTATACAGGGAAATAAAAAAAAAAAAACGAAATTGCGTGTAGTTGATGTTTTAAATTAAATTGTTACTTAAGAAATGTTTAGACTATGATTCCTCTACATACATACTTTAAAATAATGTTCCAAATCAATAATATTTCCTTATGGTGAAGTAAAGAAAAATCCAATAAATCTCTGGTGATCCTAAGTATATGTAGAGTACTGTGCAGAAGTCTTAGGCAGTGAAAGCAAATGATGTCTGATGGATATTCATGTTAATGCAAAACTTATAACATTATGTCCCTCAAAGCGTGCCAGCTTAGCCATTTCAAAATCTCTCCTAAAGTCACCCCAGTATTTGCAGCAATTGTCAAATACACGTGATTTTTTTGACTCGTCCCCTATTTTGGCTAAACAATACCTTATTGAATTATTTAACTAATTAAATGAATTCATATATTGAGCCAGTGGAGAAGTGTAACAAACACATGGAATGGCTGTGGTGCCCCTGAGGAGAGGTTTGGGAACCAAAGCGTCGTTCATCTAAACATCCAAGAAGTTATCAGTAATTTTTTTGCAGAGCAGAAGAAATCCCTGTTTGTTTTAATGTATTACTCTATTTTCATATGTTCTGATGTAAAATTGCGAAAACTCTTTATTATATGATTACTAGGGGAATCCCAACCAGTACAGAATACTGTCCGTCAGATTTACTCGGGGCTAAGCGCACGTCCATTATGGTCATTCCCTCTCACCCCCTGCATGGCAGAGTGAGGACATTACGAAGCTCCTTCAGCAACAGACTACTGCATCCAACATGTAAGAAGGAACGATTCCGCAGGTCCTTCATTCCATCTGCCATCAGACTTTATAACACCTCACTCACCTAAAGTTCATAAATTATGTCACCATTCTGTCTATTGTGCAATACAACTATATTTACATCACTCGGTGCAATCTGTGTGTATGTGTATCTGTGTGTATGTGTATCTGTATGTATGTGTATCTGTGTGTATGTGTATCTGTGTGTATGTGTATTTTGGGTCTGTGCAGTATGTGTAATTGTGTGCACTAATTTTATTATTTCTTGTATTTGTTACAGTATTTTTTTTTTTGGTCTGATTCTTTTCTATTGCTTTTTATTTACTGGTTGTTGCCACAAGTAAATTTCCCCAGTGTGGGATCAATAAAGTCTTATCTTATCTTATCTTATCTGATCTTATCTGATCTGATCTTATCTGATCTTATCTTACATATATGAATATTTGAAGATCCCCCTTCTTAATGCAAGAAAGGAAGAGAATGAGTGACAGAAGGAACAAAATAGGGCAAACAGCCCTATAATTTAAACGCACAGCGTAGCACCAAAAGACACTGGCCATGTTTGCGTTCATTCATATCATGGATGGAGCAGAGAGAGGGAGCCATTCCCTGGGAGAACATGATGAGAGATTTTGTGCTGTCTCTCCCTCCTCTGTAGCGCAAAGGAAGAAGTCCAGCCAGCATCACCACCAGTAACCATAACAGTACCAGTATGAAAGGCATGACATTGGTTAAGGTGAGGAAGGGCTTCCTAACTAGGTCGAGTTTGGTGGGAGGGAAACACTCTGGAAAATGGGATGAGATCTTACATATGTTTGGATCTGGCTGCACAATCCCTCAGGGAGCAGGGCCTGTTGTAGACTTCAAAGACAAGATGGCTTCATTTTTCAGAGGTCATCCAGGTTCTAGGTGAGAAACCATAGCAAGCGGTTCTTCAGGCATGACAGAAGAATGCAGAAGAAGAGATCAGCACACTCTGCCCCAGCAGTTTTCTTATCCATAACAAGAGATGGACGTTAAAGTTCTTCTAAACTTCTTGACTTAGCCAACTGCGATTTAAGGCCACCTCGACGGTCTGCCGTGACGGTCAGTGTCCAGACCGCGGGCCAAAGCTAACACGCCGGACCGACCGCTCCCCTCGGTAATATTAACAGTGGCCGCTGATCGTGGTAGCTGCCCTCAGAATGCCAGTGAAGTCATGCAGGCTGCGAGCTGGAGAAACAGGCAAAGCCGGCAAGTGTAGGATTTGGCACGGGATGAAAAAGGCACCAAAAAAAGAGAAGAGTCTGTTTTCTATAAAAGTCTGGTCCCCTCTGAGGCCGACCTGTTCTGCAGTCATAAATCCCCTTTCGAGAAGCAGGGCTTTTCTATATCACCACTGGATATTTTGAGGGAAAAATATGTCTCTTGAACTGAGTGCTCAAGAGCCTTCTGGCATGATGGGGTTTTCAGAGCAAAGGAGGATAGATCATTCTCTATATTATTACTTTGAACTCTAGGATGGCGGCGTGGCACCAAAACACATTTACTGCTGGTTACATTATATGTGTACAACTGTTAATTCATATCTTTATATATTTATCTGTTTAGAACATTTTTATGTCAGTATCATAGAAGAGCATCAAAACTTTTTACTTTGACATCTGTATCCTCCTTTCATTTGAGGGTTGATCTGATTATAAATTGCACCAACATTTCTGGTGAAAAGTAAGAAAATCAAGGCATAAGCACCATAAAAAATGAAGCAATCCAACGCAGAAATATTATTATTTACAAATCATGCATGTCATACAGCATAAAACAATCATGGTAAGTACAGCAAAGGTAGAATTTTCCTCTGTTGACTAATCATTTCACTGGGATTCCAAACAGAGAGACACCCCCCCCCCCCCCCCACACACACTTCTGGGGGCCCCACACACACTTCCAGGCTGAGGGCCACAGTCCTGAGGTGCCCTCAGTGCCTCTGGGTCCAGGCTGAGGGCCGCAGTACTGAGGTGCCCTCAGTGCCTCTGGGCCCAGGCTGAGGGCCGCAGTCTTGAGGTGCCCTCAGTGCCTCTGGGCCCAGGCTGAGGGCCGCAGTCCTGAGGTGCCCTCAGTGCCTCTGGGCCCAGGCTGATACCTCTGTACCGGCCAGATTCACCCCATGCATGTGCCCTTGTTTGCAATGGGAAATCTAAACAGGGACAGCAGTGAGGCATGACTAGAATGTGGTGATATTGGAGGGAGCCCCGTGCGAGAAAGGCTGGCCGAGGAAGATATATATATATATATATGATGAGAGGAAAGTGGAGGCTGAGCCGCATCCAGAAGGAGCGCTTGGCTCGGCCGAGACGGAAGACTAATGTTATTGTACATTGGCTGACACCCTGCCAGCCCTCCCCTGCTGGCTGGATTCCCCCTCTCCCCGCCAGCCCTCCCCTGGGGGAGCTCTCTGTTTGCTCAGGTGGGTAGCGACACGGTTCGGAATGAGCCGCTCCAGTCCATCTCGGCCGTCAGCCCCGTGTCACGGAGGCCTGCGCTCACGGCGGGTCTCCGGGGGCCACGGAGGTTTGAACCCCGAAGTGCCCTGTATGGGAACAGTGGGGGAGGCGATGGTGGGGGGAAGATGGGCAGGGAGGAGGGAGAATGGGCCTACCGAAAACGATTTGAGTCACGTAGTTGAACGGTGTTTAAGGTCTGCAGAATTTGTCCTACAGTCAGTTTAATTTATAACGCAGTCAAATTCCTACTAAGGATTCCTATTTTGGGAAAAGGCAGCCCATAATTTATACTGAGCAGGATCTGTAATACATTTCTTTTGTCTGTATAACAGATACAGGATAGACTGTCCCCAACTTACTATCTATGCAACTTATAACAACTCGCACATATGACTCAACTTTTAAAGCAAACAAACACAAAAACAAACAAATAAATTTTATAATGTTTGGCAGTGCAGCCTTCCGCGCGTCTCCCAGTCTCATTCTCCTGCCTAAAAGTCAGTGTGACCTCTTTCCTATTCCAACATACACCCATTTCAACGAATGAACTGTCAGTCGGAATGGAACAGGCAGCCCCGGTGTACTCTACAGTTCCAATATGACCATTGTGACATCACTGTGCGCCATGCGATTCTTCCTGGCATTGGCTACTCGTACACGTCAGCTCCATGGTCAGGTGTCGAGTAAAAAGCTGCGTATTGATGTTGAGAATGTGGGCCACAGATGTATATGGATACGATACCTGGGGCTGCACTGAAGATCACGTGCATCTGTCTGTGGTTCTGTCACGCCACACGGAGAAATCTGAGTGCACACAGCATGGGCTATGCCGCATGAAGTCTGTCTATTTAGTGTCACTAAAACTCCCAATAGCTGGAAAATTGTGGGTGTCCCACCCCAGATTTGTTTTACTACCTAGAGTACATCTGGCGGCTTGTAGCTTCTTGAGGTCCATGTTATTATTTCTGCTGCTTGCGGTCTGCACAGAACCATGTGGCACTAAGGGTGTCTGTGACCCCTCTGGAAGGCCTGTGATGTGGCACTAAGGGTGTCTGTGACCCCTCTGGAAGGCCTGTGATGTGGCACTAAGGGTGTCTGTGACCCCTCTGGAAGGCCTGTGATTTGGCACTAAGGGTGTCTGTGACCCCTCTGGAAGGCCTGTGATGTGGCACAGCGTCCAGGACACCTTGTACAGGAATCCACAGGCACAAACCAATAACTAACCCACACACACCTCTCCCGCCGCTCTGCTCCTCTGTTCAGATTCCAGCTCACGGAATAGCTTCTGCTACCAGAGAGTATATCTTACACCAGTAAACTCCCATTAGGAACTGTCAGGCATTAAAGCACTTTAAAGATATTAGCATGTCGGCAGTGTCATAATCTCACAGCAGAGGACGTCAGCCTCAGTCACAGTCACGGTACTGAAGTGAAAACTCAAAACGCGGTTGCGTCTATCTGCCGAGGTCTGACCGGGACTGAACAAGTGTTCCGAGACGCAGTCCAGGTCAGGACTTGGTAGGAGGCCAAAACAGAGAAGGAGAGTGTCCCAGAGCTGCGGGCCCCCAGCCGAATCAGCAATCACCTGCACTGCTGAGGCCGACCACATCCCCCCCCTGGGGCTGCAGCCGCCCGGCAGGGAGCGGCGAGTTTAATTGTGTGCAGATGGACGCGGGGGCCCAAGGGTACATCTCTCAGGGCAGCTCCGGGGTCGTGACCTCTCCGATTATTTGACTTCAAAAATAAACCTGGACGTTACTGCTGCATGTCCCCTGATGATCCATTTATTTGCCCTGTTTATGGCGTTTCCCCTTTTTTTACCCTTCCTGTAGGGGATACGTTTTTTTTTTTTAAAGTTGCAACTGCAAGTAGCTTTGGCAAAAACAAAATTTAAATTAAATTAAAAGAAAAATGTAATACCTTTACATTGACAGTTTATATGGACATACATACATACATTTATACACAAATAAGAACATTAAATCCACATAAATGTTTTCAGACTTGGAGAAAAACTGATATGTCGAACAGCCGATGAATCACAAGGAAGAGAGATGTTCTTCAGATGTTTAACAGAAATGAGGCCTCACTCAACAAACCAGCTTCAATCCATGGAAATCCATGGTCGTGAAGCCTGTTGGCCAATGTGGGTGTGCATGCATACTGTATGCATGAGAGGAAAACACCCCTAAAATCAGTCACAGAAATAAGTGAGACTTATCCTCATTTATGTATGCGCAGGGATTGTTGCCGCTGACTGGAGTAGCCGTTAACAAGGACCACCTTTTTAACACCAACCCATGAAGGAACTTGCATGTTGATTTACGAGTCACACTTTTATTTAAGGTGAGTTCCCCGGGAGGTGTAATAGGTTGTCGAACAAAGCTTACACAGGAAATGAACCCTGGCATCAAACTAAAATCAGTTTCATCTGGGCCTAGTTACCACTTTTCATTTTTATTTGAAGTGGTTAAAGATTAAGGCGAATGGGTGACAACATTTGCCAAGAAAAAAAATTAAATATTTAATCAGAATACACTTATTCTTTTCTGCGAGTAATTCATAAATCTTTCCAGCAAGCATGATGCATATTTATTTAGACATAAAAGCATCGGAGGATATTTATATTATTATTTTTATTTTGTATAAGGCCCTGCCATGGAGAACATTTAGTCAACTTACTATGAACTTAATAATATGCCTAAGATTTAATTTAATTCCATTGTAATTATAAAAAGTGCATACTGTTTTTTACTTGTTTTTTTGATACACTACATGCTCTTCTTTAATCCAGGTTGGAGAGGCATCTGGGGAATAATGGCTCCGCACTGCACTAAAACTCCCCATGACTATATATTGTGGCAAACAGCTCATAGAGAGTATCTGCGCCTTCTTATCAGTGCTTAAAGCTTATGTTAGTTTCATTACAAAACAGGCAAAGCCTCATGTTTTTTCGGTCCAGATTAAATATTTGCATTTCTTCTGGGGGCCAAGCAAGCAGATTTAATTGAGCCTGAGGGGTTATGAACTGCTGGCGCTTAATTGGTCGTAAAATACCACCACAATAAAGAGAGCGAGATTCCATCTGCTGGAAGCTCCGAGTGTATTAAGATACAGAGGAGAACGGACTGGAATTTGATGTTCTCTGCTCTTCTTCAGGTCTCCTGGGCACGTCCACTTGCGTTTTCCACTGATGGAGGCCTATTGAAATATTTACCTTTGCATTTATTCATTAGGTCCGAAGGGACTTAGGGATTAGAGTATTATGGGGTATCTGCGCTGAACAACAAAAGGTCATCGACGCGATCACTTAGGACAGCAGATTCTGTGCGTATCGCTTCATAATGGAGATCCCGTCTAGCATATGTTGGTATTATTATTATTATTATTATTATTATTATTATT